ACCGTTGGCATTATTTCCTTTTTTGCTAATTTTAATCTTATATTATCGATATTTCTTTTAAAATATATGCTTAAACTATTGTGATGCTAAAAATCTATTTTTTTTAGTTATCTCGAAATTCACAATTCAAGCGACGCGATAGCGATGCGACGCCAAGTACATAAAAATACATTTCTAGCTTGACAACAATTTTGCCTATGTACAGGGACCGCGGTCTTACCAAGTAGCATATCCGGAATTTTAAGTCAAACTTTCGATTAAGATATTTCAGGTACTAAAGCCGTAATCAAAAATCTAACGGCATTTTTTTAATAAAGTGTGGATTCAAACTTTTGATTGCGACGAATGTTTACGACACGATATTCAGATCGAGAAAAATTTAAATGCGCACTCGTGAAGATCGGCTCGCAAGATTCGGTGGCTGGAGATTCAAAGATCAGTTTAATAATAGACATAAATCTCATGTTAAATCTCATCTATTCATTCTTTTTCTGTTGCATGTTGAATTATTTCGAATTAATGCTATTCATAATCTCGAGTGTCCGATTTGATTGCGAAATAATTGTCCTGATGACTATAGCCCAGAGAGATTTCTAATTTCTTTTCGTTTGAATAGATATCCATAGACTATGAAATAGTCGGATAAGAGGCACAGCTCACGTAAAACAAAATGTACCGATAAAAAATATAGGCAGATACGATGTCACACAATTAGGTATCAAAGAAAGAATTTTTGAAATTTTGAAAATTTTTCTAGCTGATCGTGTGACGTTGTGTTTACGTGTGATTCTTGCTGGAAAGTATAATAGCCATAAAAATATAAGGAAAAGGTAAAAGAAGGATTGTTAATGAAGCTTTATATAAACCTCATTATACAAATTCATACGCATACATATGTATTCTTTTATTATAAAATGCGCCTACTTTATATATCAAATTAATATACCCGCGTTTTAATATTGGAAAGAAAGTTGCAATTTAAGTATGCTTATTTAATATTTGATATTATAATAATATATGTACACATATTTATGTACATATGTCGTAGTAAAATTACATTATTACATAATCTGTCGTTTTATAAAACGTTTAGCCATTTTATAAAGTGCGACCACATTCTCAAATCATAGTTGAAAATGAAATGTTTTACAATCTGACTAAAAATTTTAGTCTTTTAATAAAACGCCAACAAGAGATCCGACATACATTCTTCTGTTCGTTTAAATTGTGCAGAACTAAG